AGGACTGTGACCCAAACACTGGTGAAACAGATGACGAAGGTTATGAGGATGAGTATGTGGTAAGGAACTGGTCTTAGAGCTGATAATTGGAGCTTGAGTGGTGCCAAGGTGCTTCTGAGTTTTTTTTTGTCTTATAGTGAAATATCTGGTCACAAGCAGCTGCTCTGGACACCTTCTGTGGGTTTCTTTCATGGAAAGCCAGAAGTTCCTTTAAACCAGGGGTGGCCACTCTGTAGCATGTGTCACAAGTGGCATGGACACTACAGCCTTTCTGTGGTACACGAATCAGGGATGGGGCAGGCAGCATAGTAGCAGATAGGGCAGGGAGCAGAATGCAGAGCAGGAGATCGAGCAGGGGAAGGGGATGGGGGTGGCACGCGGGAAGGGTGCGGGACCTATTTGTGGCACGCCTACCAGAAAGGATGTCACCTCCCCCACTGCCTTAAACTCAGCTTCTCTCCGCAGTCTCTGTGGCCACACTTTTGACTCCTGGGGGCCAAGCCAGATCTAGTGAATATCTGAGCCTGCCCACTTGCACAGTCCCAGCATGGACAGATGGTTACTGTCTAACCTAGTGTACCCTCCTATCAGTACTTCCATCTCTGTGGACACTGTTATCTCTCTCAGCCTGCTGGCAAAGCCATGTGGAGAAGTGTGTGTGGTTCCTGTCTGTGTTGCACATGACTCCTGCCAGTGCGAGCAGCCCTCCTACACAGCAGGGCGCTCTGCTCTGAGTAAATAAACCTCCTTCCGTTCCTGAGCAAATGCCACGGACTTAAAAATAATCTGCCAGTGCTCTGAGCAGGAAGTGATGGGCTCTATCAGTAGTGGAGCTGGTTTAATGAATGAAGGATGCTGTTTGGCCACCTCTAGTGCTCAGTGAGCATCTCTTCATGTGCCAGAGCCATTCATTGTGGAGCTCCTGGCTCTGGTACTAGGGGACGTCCATTGCAGCCTCCCATGCCATGTGGCTGCTCTGGCCCTCAAACCTGGAAGCAAGGGGTGACTGCCTTCTGGCCTGTATTAACAGCCTCTGTAAAAGGTTCTGTTTGAGCCTATTACCAGATCCAGGCAGGACTTCTGAGTGCATAATCTGATTTCGTTGCTGAGTTTTGTGTTACCACTGCGGAGAAGTTGCTTTGCACTCAGACCAGAGCCTCAGTTGCTTTTTACAGGGTGGGGTAACATGCCCTTTGGAGGGGGACGGGAATGACGTGACTGAACCTTAGCCTGTTCTGACTGCAGTAGTTGTTTGCCATGCATCCCCTGCCCTTTCCTCTGCTGATGCTGTTTAGCATTTGATTATAGAAACCACTGGGCAGTGAGTCAGCACAAATTGCTGGAAAAGCAGTGTGAAGTGCATCAAGCCAGGAGGGGTGGGGAGGATTCTGCAAGGGGAACAGCATGGTGAGATGCTCATCTTTTGCCAGATTGAGAGAGCCTTTCCTCCCCTCCCCCCATTACTAAGGCACTTGAGTGAATTGAAATAGCAAATATATTCCATTAAACTATAATAACGAATAGATAATGACTGCACTCCTGCAGAGGAATATATAAATTAATGCAGGATGCTGACCAGTTCTAATATGCTCCAGTGAGGGAGTCTCCTTCCTTGACCCAAGTTCTGCATCTCACAAAATGTGACTGGAATAATGTGACGTGCTGGATGGTGACGGGTAGTAGTTACAACACTGATGCATGCAGGATCCTTTCCAAATACAGCATATAACTCTTGTCTGTATAACTTCAGTCTTCCTTGGGCCTCATGGTACAAACTGGGAAGCCAACTCCAGGGAAGTTTCTGTGTGTACCAGAAATGCAAGTCCAGGCACTGACATCTCTTGTTGAATTTTTATTTTTGTGTTGTCCATTCTCTTGGATCTCTTTCACACTTTCATTTGTAGCAGGTTTAAGAACTATGCTCAAAATGGGAAATTGGTTCATCAAACCCTGGGCATGGTGGACCCGATGGCTTTTCCAGCTCCATTACCCACAGCAAACAAATGGTATCAAAATGGTATTGGTCAAGCCACCTCGAAAGGGGACAGGGCACTAATGCCAAGGAAAGCTGTGGTGAAACATGAATGTGACTGCTTGACTATAATGAAGGAAGGCTTACAGCTCTCTGCTGTAGAGGTTAAAACTAGGAGCAATTTTATTTTGGTTAAACTTCCTTTTCACCATCAGCTTGAAGATATCGAGGTCACAGTAGCGGATCACATCCAAAGGGTTCTGAAACCAAATTTTGGAGCAGCCTGGGATGAAGTGGGTGATGAGTATGAAAAGGAAGAGACTTTCACTTTATCCACCATTAAAACACTGGAAGGTAAGGCAGGCTCTGATCCTAGCAGATCTCCTAGCATTTCCCTCCCAGCAAGAGGCAAGGTCTGAATCCTGGACCTTTTCAGCTGTCACTTTCTTTGGGGTCTTCCTAAAAAACCCCCTAGCATGCCCTATATGCCAAGCCCTTATCATGTTGTTTTGTGTTAGGGGTTCTGGATGTGGTAGGCTGGGAAGTAGTCTTAAGTTTATTGACCTTTTCTCCCCCTGTAACAGTTCAACCTCTGCTCAACCTCTGGGCGTGTCATCAGGCCCACAGGGCTCACCAGGGGTCTGGAAATGTGGCAAGGGAGGTAGTGGCTGTGTTAATTGTTTTTCCCGATGCCCAATTTCCAGACTTGTGGGGAGTCCCATGACTTGGATGATGAGGCCCTACATGCCTTGCTGCATGAGGCTGGTTCAGGGGCATGGGGCTGGATGCAGAGGGGTGGGGCTGGATGTGGGGGTGCTGGATTGCACCTGATGACCACCCTGATGCCACTCATCCAGCCTGAAGGGCTGGAAGGTTGAGCCCCGCTGTCCTATAGCTTGCTCCTGCTTCGGATTGTGATAGTGTCCAAAGTTATCTAACAGTGAATTGGGGCCTGTTCAAACACATGTAGTAAGAGCTACCTTGTAGAGCTATAGGGTAATTCTCTTGGGGCAAGGAGCTTGTCTTTTATGTTAGGAGGGTTGCGTCACCTCCAGGGGTTGTCAAGAAAAATGCTTATGATACTTCATTATTTCTCTAAACAGAGGCAGTCAGTAATATTGTGAAGTTCCTGGGGATGCAGCCATGTGAGCGATCAGATAAAGTGCCAGACAACAAGAACTCCCACACGTTGTACCTTGCAGGTAAGCTGTTGGCGGGGATCTTTGCTCTGTCTTGTGTGACACTTCTGGGACACGTGGACCTGCCTGCTCAAGGCATGCTGTTAGCACATCCCGTGTGTTGTCTGTCCCTCAGTTGCCAGAGCTCTGTATAAGATGCATAAATCTGTCTGTCCCTGTCACACTCTCCACCCCCCGCAACTTCTGTCACCCGTTTTGAATTACAGGTTGAGGCTGTTTATAGGAGATGTAGCTCATAATGAAATTGGGAATGTCTTGTGGTATCTTAGACTTAAAAGCAGAGAAGTAAACTTAAGTTGGTTTGGCAGGTTTTGTACTAGATTTATGCTAGTGATCAGCTCAGTCTTAATGTGTTCCTGTGAGGTTCAAAGCCATCCAGCTGTGCCTGTTTTCAGCTGACCTTCTTTTGGAGATCTATGTCTGCTCCAGGCATGGTACCCTTAGAATTGGGTGGGCAAGCCAGGGACCTGCTAGCACCTAATTCTCTCCTCCATCTCTTCTGTGTCCCAGGTGTGTTTCGGGGTGGCCACGACCTCCTGGTGCGTTCTCGTCTCGTCCTGACAGATACCGTGACGATGCAAGTCACGGCCCGCAGCGGAGAAGAGCTTCCTGTGGATGTCATCATGGCCTCCGTTGGCTAAACTGCCCTTCTGGAACTGTTCTCTGACGTGCAAGGCCCATAAAGGGAGGATGTATTTGGCGATCTGCTCTCTTTTTTTCTGGACACTGAATGGAAATCATACTCGCTACAGCAGCTTTCTTTTCTTTAGTAAAATTAGGATGGGTATTTGGAGTTCTTGCAATACAAGGATGGTGTTTGTAAGCCCCAATACGTTTTACGAAACATTTGATTGGTCTTACAAAGTCTGCCTGTTTCATCGTACCAGGTTGCTGGATACAGCAGCAGTTTGCAATGTTTTGCCAACGAAACCCCTTTTACTTGTTCCTGTCATGGTAGCCCAGCCACTGGGCAGCGCTCAGAACCTGTGAAATCAGTGTGTTACATCCTCTAATTTCTCCTAGTGTTTTTATGTCTTTGAAAGGCCCCCAAAATAAAAAGGGATATGGTCATTTTAAAAGGATAACATTCCCTGTGAACCCGGCTCTAGCATTTGGCTCCTTTCTGCTTGTATCTCACCTGAACACAACGGGCCGACCCTCTTCCCAGGCAATGCGCCTCTCTAAGGGCAAGTCGGCAAGGCCAGCTTGCCCTCGGACACTGGTGATGCGTAGGAGGCACCTGCGCGTGGCGGTGCGCCCCTGCGGAAAGACACCACCGCCGACACCGCT